CGATGAGTCAGGTTCAGAAAGAAAGTTAGTTTTATCCTAAGTGTTGATGTACTATAGAAATTTGAAAGAAATGCATTTTCTGTAAGAGCACTTTAATCAAGTTTTAATTCTTGTAATCTAACATCTGTCTAGTGGCATATAGAAAAATATATGGGTTTCAATAAAAAAAATACATATGTATATATGAAAAAGTAAGATTCAGTTCTTGAATAGTGGGCAGGTACCAGAGGATTGGAAGTTATCCAATGTCACTCCTCTTTACAATAGAGGTAATAAATATTGTTATGGGCAAAGTTTTGGAAAGTGTGATAAAAGATGCTTTGCAAAGTCATTTAATAAAGTTTAGAATTTTATTGTATAGTCAACATGGTTTCACTAAGGGAAAATCTTGCCTTACAAACCTTTTGAATTTCTTTGAAAAGATTACTGCATATGTAGATGAGGGTAAGAGTGTAGATTTGGTGTATCTAGATTTTCAGAAAGCATTTGACAAGGTACTACATAAAATGCTTGTAAAAATTATCTCTATAGGTGTGGGGGATAAGTTAGCAAATTGGAGAGCAGAAAGCAGGGGGTTGTTACAAATGGAGTTAAGTCAAACTGGATTAATGTCAGAAGTGGGGTACCTTAGGGCTCAGTCTTAGAACCTTTTCTCTTTTTGATTTACATCAGTGACATAGATGAAAGAATGGTCAATAAATTAATTTAATTTGCAGGTGATATTAATGTCTTGGGTTTTGCTAGCTATGAAGAGGATGCTGCTGATTTAAAAAAGATTTTTAGATCATTTAGTGAGTTGGGCAAATAAATGGCAGATGGGTTTTAAGTATAATAAATGCAAGATAATACATGTGGGTTATCATAATTTGAATTATAAGTATAATTTGGATGGGAATAACCTTAACGATGTCATAAAAGAAAGGGATCTTGATATGATGGTTGATCAGTCTCTTAAACTATCCAAGCAGTGTGCTGTTGCTAATGGTAAGGCAAATAGGATTTTATATTGTATCTACAGAAATATTGAATACAAGCCTAAAGAGGTTATAATTTCATTGTACAGGTCACTGGTTAGGCCACATTTGGAGTATTGTGTACAGTCTTGGGCTTCTTACCTTAGGAAGGACATTGAATAGTTGGAAAGGGTTCAGAGAATGGTGCCTGGGATGGAGGGGTTGTTATATGAGGAGAGATTAAGATCTTTGAAACTGTTTTCTCTTGAAAAAAAAAAGAGTTAGAGGGGATCTGATTGAGAAGTTTAAGATTGTAAAGGGAATTGATAGTGTTGATGCATTGTCTTTTTACATACTTAATGGTGAGAATGGTAGGACTAGGGGACACATGTAAATTTGGGCAGAGTAGGAGTCATTTTCAGCTAAGACACTTTTATTTTTCTAACAGGGTGGTTGGTCTTTGGAATGAATTACCATCAGATGTTGTGGAGGCAGTAAATTTAAGCGAGTTTCAGAGAAAGCTTGATAAGTATATGAATGATAACGGCTGGCGTTAAGATTTTTTTTAATTTATTTTTTAAGAGGATGAAAGAGTAGGTCTCATGTCATCCCAAAACGTTGTTATTATTCTAAACAACACTTGACACTTTAAGCAATTACAATGATGCTTTTATTCTAAATCCATACATTTTTTTATTTTTATTAAATGAGGAGTTTTGAACCTTAATATGAAAAACTGTATTTAAAAGAATCACGCATAACCTCATGAAAATTGTTTTAGTAATTGTTATATGAAATTTATTTCCACAATTCAGTCTAGTTTAAAATCAACCCCACTTCAGTGCCTCTGCCCTTTATTTCAAATGTCACCTCTAAATTAAATACTTTGCAATGCATAATGTAAATAATGAGAAAAGTCGATAAGCTAACAATAACGTGAAGAGTTCATACAGATAAATGTGCAAAAATTTAAGGAAGAGTAAATGAATTTCAAGGGAAACAATGCTATTAGAACAGAGCCCCTCCTACATACAAACACAGAGATATAAAACTAGTGTACTTAACTTAAGTGTATAAAAAAAGGACACTTGCATAGGGTGTTAATGTAATAAAAATTCTTATATAAAGTTCAATTACTAAATTGCAAGTAAAGGTTCAGTAG